CCCCAAAACCCCAAAACCCCATAAGGCTTAATTCTGATTATATATGAAGTTATGAAATTAAGATTAAAATTTTCCCTATTTAAATTATGCTTACCAGTTATTTTCACACTATATTCCACTCTATCATCCATACACTCACTTTTTTCCTATGAATGGTTAACACAATATAAAAAAATACTTACTCTGAATGAACTATCATATATGGTACCAGAGATCCACATGTTACTATATGCAATTATTCCTTTAATTCTAGCCTTTTTTCTTAGATTAAAGTTCCGCTGTTTCTAAAGCTGATCTAATTATCTTTCTTTATTGCCACACATACGAATTCTCCTCTCGTATTTACTTAGATGAAATCGCAGACTACATAAATTTAGATTTAAGAAATATACCTTTTTTCTTATCTACTTTATTCTTGATCACAGTTGGAAAAGTATTGCAATCATAGGCTGCATAGTATGGCTCTACTCCAGCTTTGATCTTTTAGAACTCAAAGAAATTTGTATTTAGGTTTCTCCTTACCAAGAATAACTCTCTATCAATAATGTATGAACTGTACACAATATCCATTCCCTCTACTGCATGGTTAGAGGATCTCTCTACACTGAATTTCTTTTCAATGTATCCCTCAAGAGATACATATATCAAGTAGCCTTCTACATCTATTGATACAATCTGCTCCTCTACATTTCCTTCTTCATCTTAATCTTCTACAAAACTAAGGTAATTTATTGCTCCTAAATGTTCTCTAATTTCAAATAAAAGATTTCTGGTTGTGGCACTCCATACATTTATCAAGTAATCAGCACCTGCACTCACCAATATGGTTTGATTAGAATTAAATACTAGAGCAGTTACTTCTGCTAAATGAGAAGGGATCTCAAGAATAAGCGACTCCTTATCTTTCTAGGCCAGATCCCAAAATTAGAGTGCCCCGTTATAAAGTCCAAAGACTAGTTGAGTCATTGAATCATTTAGAACCAGCACTGAAACATCGAATTCTTCAATAATTTATTCTTCAACTATAGTTCTCATGTAGTATTATGCATGCGAATCATGATAGGCTCTGAAAAATCTTAAGCATTTAAATGAGCCTACTTCCCAGATTGATACCTTAAAATCCTGACTCATTATCATCAGATTCTTTTCATTTCTGGTAAATTTGATGTGTTCAATCATATCATTGTGTAGCTTTTCTAATGGTAAGACAGCCATCTTAAAAATATTATGTATTTTGCCCTTCTTATATGAGCCTGTTTACATTTCAGCCCAAATATTAACTACGCTTGGATTCATAAATAATGGCTATACTTCCCTTAATCTCTGTAAATAATATTTTGCCTACTCTAAACTTTTTTAATTGTATGAATTTATTGTGGCTTCTCTCATCTGCTTTGCCTTTGATTTTATCTTTATTTGAATATTTTTAGTTAAGTCCATATTGGTAATGAATTGGCAAGGACCCATCCCTATGAAGGGTAAATTAGTTTACTAAACTCTTAATCCCACAACCTAGCCATGATTATTAATCTCATAATTATCACCAGCTCTAGTTTCACAAGCCAATAGCAGCAATCTGCAAGTATCATAGTTCTTTATTAAGTTCAGCTCTTATTTAGGTTATCTATACAAATTCAAATCGAATTTGAACCTCCTATCATCAAGTATTTGGAAATTTTGAAATGATCTCTCTTGCTAGCCTAGATTTTGGTAAGCTTTAATCTATTCCAGCGAACTCTTAAGTAAGTAGATATTCTGCTAAGTCTTATCCTTGGCTCTGTCAAAATTCAAAGCCTAAAGTTCCTGATAAACATCTTATGCATTAAGTTGCTTTGTGAATTCCTCAGTTTGAAAGTAGAAATATTTGAACACAGCATTCTCAAAGAATAAATCTTGGAGCATCAACTCCTCATCTTAGTTTAAGTTATGTTGATTTGGATCTTCTTCTGGAATCTGAAAGTCTTAATCCTAATGAAGAAATCCACCTCCACCTTCTAATTGAGTTTATCTCGTCCTCTTAAAATCACTCTCTTGATCAGGATCTACTTCTTATACTGTTGGCATTTCTTGTTGTGATCTTTGCTTTGAACCTTGCATACTTGTTATCCTAGATTTCAAGGTCACTTAAATTTTCGAGGTTCCTTTAGAATTTTACTTCGATGATTGCACTTTTGAAGATTCATTTCCTCCTCTCGCTTCCACATATTCATCTTAAAGTTTAGTTTTCTATCTTTCTAGCAAATTTATGAGCTTATGTTCGAGTCCTTCTTTAGCTGCTTCAAAGACAAAGTTACTAACAACCAAACTAATTCCTGAATGTTTACCATATAGCTTTTCAGTCCTCCAAGTAATGGCAGTCAAGGTCTCATACAGTAAAATTGAGCCATCAAGCAAATTAGCAGCCAAGAATTTACCCATCGGAGTCAAAGACAACTTGACTATAAAGGATGGAACTTGAATCTCTCTAATGCAATCTCCTGTAACTAAATCCCAAATAAATATAATTCTGTCCATTCCACCAGTGATCCCAAGCATTCCATCGTAGGATATTTCACAACTTGTGACTTAACATTTATGTTTCTGATAATCATTAAGTTTAATTTTTACATTTAGCTAGAAGACTAGTTGGACCTACTTTTTGTTTGAATAGTGATGATACACTTGTACAGAGAAATTTGAATTTGTTGAAAACATAAGCTCTTCACCGTTCATATTAATACAAGCTGATTTAAGATATTGATTAGGGATTTCAATTTTTGACAAAAGTAATTTCTTTTAACAGTTCCAGAGTGCAACATAGTTATCAAGTCCTCCACTCATTCCAAAGTACCCGTCCTTAGATATTCTTATTACAAGAATCATGCTTGTGTGAAACTATAATTTTAATATAATATTTCTTACACCTAATTCAATCTCTTCGACATTAGCGACAAAGTTATTATCTTCATAGGCCAAATTAAACATAACAATCAATCCATTTCTTAGACCCACCACTATTCTATCTAGTCTTGCATTTGCATCCATGCAAGTAGCATTCTTATCTTCTATTTCTTTGAGAATCTTCTAATGCTACAGATTCCACACGATTATTCTCGAAGTCTTCTGGAAACTTACTGCTAGTTTTCCATTAAATGACACTACTAAATCCTAAACATCACTCATTTCAAGATGTCCAAAAAGAAATTACTCTGCATACTTATCATGAAACTCTCTACACCTTGAAACCCTTCTTTTTATCTCGATGATACTGCTATCACTTGCATTGGCTAGAGCTATTTCGTAATTTACCCTAGCTGGAAGCCAATTATTTTGCGCCTCGTAAACTAGAGCATACATAAGTGAACTGAAATTTTTCCTTCTAGACAATTAGGCAATTCTATTTATTTCTTGAAATACCATCAAATCACTGTATATCCCCGCTTCCCAGCAGAGTAACAGATAATTGAAGTATGAGATTGGATTCGTTTCAACTATGTCATAGATCTTACTAATCATATCAACACATTATTGGTAGTTTGATTTAAGATAGGCTAGAACTGCCTAATTATTCAAAGTTATTAGATCCACATCATCTTCCTGGTAGAGCTTTTTGACCATAGCATTCTCATCGTTATCTTTAATTTTCTATTCCTATTGAGCAAGAATGATATCTGGATCACTTCCTTGATATTCTTTTGTCCTCATTTCCTTTCCTACTATCAATCCACCTTACTTCTTATTGTTCAGTTAAAATATTTCTTGTTCCTGCTAAGAAAAGTCATCGAAAGAATAATCTTGGTAGTCTTTAATTAGCAATTCCTCCTTTCTTTTACCAGCTGGATACTCATAAAGAGGTTTGGAATTATTTTCATATGAATAAAAATCCACATTATTATCTCTTAGTATTTTCTCAACATTAGCTCGAGCAGTGTGCAAATTTAACAAAATATCTGAAATCTTTTCAAACGGTTTATCATTTTTCTAAATTAAGAAGCATCTCTTAAGTATTGCTTTGAATATAGCTAAGTTCTAAAGATCAACTATGAGCTCTGCCTTTTACATCTTCAGTTCAAAAGTAGCCTAAAGCTCAATAGTAGATTGCCATTCATAACCTCCTGTTAGCATGAATAACAAAATTACTCCAAAGCAATAAACGTCAACTAAGACACTCTAATTTTATTTAATCCTCCTTAAAATTTCTCTCCTATCTTCAATTTTCTTGGTAGAAGCAGCTGATTTTATAAGGCTTAATATATGAGGTGGGCTAATAAGTGGATTAATAAAAATTTTAAGTTACTAGAATTTCAGCATTCTTGAAAATATTTTTTCATGATTTTCAGTCCAGAATGTTTCATCCTAAAGCATGAGAGGTTCTCCAAAATCAGTGACGAAGAATCCATACTGTTCATCCTTTTCAGAACATCTAGCAACCATGATATTACCCACATGCAAATTTAGATGCAAGATTCCATTTGAATGTGCATGATCCATTGCCTCAGCTATTTGAATGGCACAGTTTAGAATTTTATGTGAGATTTCATATCTGTACTAGTAGCCTCTGTAGAATGATCTATTTGAAATCACCTCTATAAATTGCATAAGATTTATTTTAATTTTATTTACATTCAAGGTTCTGAACAAAAGCCATGTCTTCTATAAATACTAATGGTGTTTTTTCATTGAGTTAGGCAAAGCAAATAGGTCTAATAATTCTTTTATGATAAGGTAAAGTTGACCAGACTTGCATTTATGAAAGGAATACATTTCCATCAACATATTCACTTACTGGCACTTTGCATATTGCAGTTCTCAATAGCTTTCTAAATTCTACTCTAACACTAAGAACAAGCTTGCTTTTCCCAATAGCTCGAATAACAGGAGGATCTGAAAGATTTTTATTAAGATTTTAATCATATAGTCTTTCATGGGTGAATCCTTCTCTGTTATTTATATCGTGTATCGCTCCTGCTTTGTCATTATAAAACTGTACCGGTACATTTATCTTCAAGGCAATTTAATTTCCTAGTAGTTCACTAGTAGGTTTATTACTTCCCAGGCTATTGTGTAAAGGATTTAGTTCACTTAGTCTGACAATTTCTCCCTTTTAAGTATTACCCATATTATACTAAGTAATGTCCTATATCACTCTAAAAATCTCATGAACTACTGTCTGACTATCCCATCTTAGAGGATTTACTTTTTCATTTGCGTATTTATACTCTAGTTTTTAATCTTCTTCATCAACTTCATCCTAAAAGAATCTCTCTACTCTTAAGTAATCATCCATTATTGGATCCTCCATAATATCTTAATACAATTCAATCAGCTACTTATCAAGTCCATCTATTTGAAAATTTATTAGTTTATCATATTAACCCTGCTTGTTCAGCTTATTTTCTAGTAATAAAGCCTCGTTATCTGGCTATTATTTTTTGCTTTTCTTAGATCTGTATGTTTGAGTACGAACTTATTCTCTAGACTGAGTTGCATTATTCCCAGTACCATTGAGGTTATGAGTTTGATTGACATCCTCGTCATTATCCTCTTAAGATTACTGTAATGAAGCGGTTTATCCTTAAAGAGCAGGATCTTTCACCTTTGTAGACTTAAAGAAATTATCTGTCTAGCTTTTGCCTGAAGGAGCTGGTTGTTGCTATATCTAATTCAAACCTGGAATGTTTAGTTTTATATTAGGTTTATTTTTTGTATTTCCCGCACCCATAAATTTAATTAAGTAAATATTTTATTGAAATTTCTAATATAAGAAAATTTAATCATCCTGGGGTTTTGGGGTTTTGGGG